ATAATAATAATTGCATTTATATAGCGCATATCCATGCTCAAGAGCATGCTCTGTGCGCTTTACAACTATTATTACCCCAGCTGACCCTCTGAGAACACTCAGAAACATTCTCAGCTTCCGCGGAAGCATACAGAGAAGATCGCTGCACTTTCACATCCTGCATGTCAATCTCGTCATTGGTTTCTGGGTGAGAAACCTCAGCGGTGATGTCATTCCAAATGAGGATTGCGATACCTTGACTCGCAGCGGTACATTATGTAGCCTGTCAAACAGAACTCTATCCGCTTGGGTAGTTGGGTTTCCTGTAGCAAGGATGCATGAATTCTTAAGTCTGACAGTATCTTTGCAAGCTCCTTTTTCTTGTTCTGTATTGATGAGATGTTCAGTTGGAGTATATTCAATGAATGTGTGTCTGTAGGTTGGGGGGTCTGTAGTGTCTGTGTGTTGCTTGTGGCCTCTATACCTGCAGTGTGGGTCCCAGTAGCTGACTTGTCACTCCCGCCCCCGGGTGAAGGCAGAGAGCACGGACCTTGATAACCGAGGCGACATTCGAGCTCGTATAGTTTCATTTGTCGTAGAGGCATTCTATTGGTTAGGGGGTTGTGAAGGTGTGTATGCAACCCTGTAGGATCTCAGGTAGGTGGTAGTCTTGTCCTGACACTGGCTTATGCCCAAACATCTTGCCACAAGAGAACAAAGGTGCAATGTTCGCTGTCCTGTTTTCCATCAACCTTCACGGGGATTTCTTACACAGCAGACAAGCATAGGGGGGGGGGGGTAAGCACACTCTAGTTCTGAGAGATGGGAGCCACAAAGTGTAGCCAATGACCAGTGATCGTTTGAGCAATCCAGTAAGAGGTCCCATTGAGTAAGGGGTAACGTGTTTCTTCCACAGTGAGTAGTCCACATCACCAGGCGTAGCTTGCGTTTGCCCAATCCCCGCCACCTGCTGTCTCCTGGCTCTCTGCTATCACCATTTCCGTTCATGGGGCAAAAAAATCCGAGGGGTGGCCAAATCTACTCAGACAGAGGATCCTCACGTCATGGGTCAGCGAGCATTTGCCAGGATATCTGTAGGGACGTCATCTGTTTCCAGGCAGCCTATTCCTTACAGCTACAAGGCCTTCTGGGTCCACGGAGACATCTCACGATGAGTCATCTGCAGTCTGTGGGTACCATGCCCCGTCTGTAGAGCTCCCACGAGAGGGAGGGAAGGAGATGTCGACAGTGAGTTCTTGAATGAACCTGTTGTGACGCCAGACCTACCATAATGGTGGATGTGTATGAAGGGTCACATTGCACCTCACAGGGCTATGGTACCTCCTGGCCAGAGCTCCGTCTGCAACCCCTACTCCTATGCACAGAGCAGGGGTCCCCAGGCTGCTCGACAAGGACGGGGAGTTGACGTGGTTGAGGCTGGCTAGCCAGAGAGCGTCTGGGGCTTCACCCTCAACCCTTACAGCCTAATACTAATGACCTTACTTTGTACATTGTGCTGTGTTTTACATGTACTTGTAATTGCAAATGCATTACTGTTGCACATTCCATGTATTGTGATAATTTTCTGAAAGAACGAAAACCAAATTATGGTACAGAATATATGTATAAATTAAACGGTTGTCTCCCTTACACGAAAAAGTAAAAGTCTGTTCTCAATCCGCCTGGCGTTTCTTAGTCTTGATTTCACTGATAAATGACTATTTGAATTAATGAGCTGGTGTGTGGTTGTTTTGGGGTTTGTTTGTTTTAACTTAAACAAGCAAAAATATACATCCATACACTCACATACACCTTCGGCTTTCAGAGCTGGATCTTCAGTCCAACAGACTGATAGGCTGTTAAAATCTGAGGGCTATGCTTGCATCTGTTCCTGGATGTGCGACTGAAGCGTCACGGTCAAGTCGTCCTCAAAGTCCAGATCGTCCAAATGTGTCCATGGGGTCCACTGTATGCCATTTCTGTGTCCGTTGGTGGTTTCCTTCATCAGCCAGTCGATCTCCAAGACGAGGAGGACAGGTGATAGTAAACATCCCTGTATCACACCTGTCTTGATGTCAAAGCTGTCAGTGAGCTGGCCATCATGTGCAACCCTGCAACTTGTCCCTTCATACATGTTCTTGATGAGATTCACCAACTTCTGCGGGATTCCCTGATGTCTCCAGTATCTTCCATAGTATTGTTCGGTCTATACTGTCAAAAGCTCTCTTGCAGTCATGCAAGGACTGATGCTCAACGAAAGGAGCAGGTCACAATAGAAGGAAATGCACTAGAAGACGTTGAATCTTTCTGCTATCTTGGAAGTATAATTGATAGAGAGGGAGGAACAGGTGCTCAAAGACAGGAGCAGGTCACAATAGAAGGAAATGCACTAGAAGACGTTGAATCGTTCTGCTATCTTGGAAGTATAATTGATAGAGAGGGAGGAACAGGTGCTCAAAGACAGGAGCAGGTCACAATAGAAGGAAATGCACTAGAAGACGTTGAATCTTTCTGCTATCTTGGAAGTATAATTGATAGAGAGGGAGGAACAGGTGCTCAAAGACAGGAGCAGGTCACAATAGAAGGAAATGCACTAGAAGACGTTGAATCGTTCTGCTATCTTGGAAGTATAATTGATAGAGAGGGAGGAACAGGTGCTCAAAGACAGGAGCAGGTCACAATAGAAGGAAATGCACTAGAAGACGTTGAATCTTTCTGCTATCTTGGAAGTATAATTGATAGAGAGGGAGGAACAGGTGCTGAAATAAAGTCACGCATCGGAAAATAAAGGCACAGGCTGCTTTTATTATCTTTGAATAGGATTTGGAGGACCAGGGATATCTCACTTCGAAAAAAGCTGAGGATTTTCAATTCAAATGTGAAGTAAGCCCTGTCGTATGGATGTGAGACATAAAACGCATCTCAGACTTGCATAAAGAGGATCCGGATTTTCTCGGACAAGTGTCTACGGAAGTTACGGAGGATCAGATGGACGGGCAGGGTCACCAACAAGACAAAGCCACGTCAGAGATGACGTGGGAAGAAGGCGGTGACGATGGATTGGACATACTCTCAGGAAGTCAGGCAGCTGCATAGCAAAGAATGTGTTGGATTGGAACCCACAGGGTAGACGGTCAAGGGGAAGACTGCGTGGAACCTGGACAAACGTCACAGAAATTTGTGTACAGAAAAGTGGGAAGACATGGAATAACATCAAGAGGTTAGCCCAGGATAGGGAAAGGTGGAACGTGTTTTAGTTTGTTTGTTTTTTTGTTTTAGTAGAGATTTTACGGCACTCGCAACTGCATAAGGTCATATGAGTGCCAGAAGAATAGAGGTGTTACAAGAGAGTAACAAACATAAAAAAAGAAGGGGAGATAAGGACGACAGATGTTTGATAGGAAAGAAGGAGCAAACCACAACAGAGCACCCGCCAACCACTCACTGGAAAGTGTTTGTTCGTGGCCTATACCCTGATCCAGGATGAGAAAGTCAATGGTGTTGGGGATGACACGCACGCACGCACGCACGCACTCACGGACGCACGCGCGCGCACACACATACACACACA